TACCCGGAATCGAACCCGGGACCTTTGAATGAGAGGCCAACACCTTAACCTCTAGGCCACGAGAGCCCCCTATGGTAGAGAGTAAGTAAGATGAAAGAGAACAAGTAAGATGGTAGAGAGTAGGTAAGATGGAAGAGAGCAAGTAAGATGGTAGAGAGTAAGTAAGGTGGTAGTGAATAAGTATAATAGTAGAGAGTAAATAAAATGGAAGTGAATAAGTAAGATAGTAGAGATAAAATAATGTCAAACCTATCCAAGATTACCTCCTGTTCAACAGTTTAAGACAATCACCTAAACTAACGGCGGTCGCTTCCGATTTCATCCTTGTGTATTTTTTTAAAACATAATAATGACAGTGTTTAAGACGGCCACCTGTCTAAGACGGATACTTTTCTCCCAGATAATGGATGACCGTCTTAGACAGTTTACAGTGTTCCTTCGAAACTGTCCAAGGCGGCCACCCATTGTCTAGGAGAAAGATAGTTGTCTTACAAAGGTATATGTCTTGGACAGTGTCTCCCATCACAAATTCGGTGGTTTTGACACCTTGATCGGTATGGCGGTAGAACAGGCCCAAAATAGGTAACTACCGGAAAAAATCAGTAGATTTAGGCAGCCTTGACTGTTATATAAAGAAAGGCAATGGGGGAGGTAGGAAGTTGTCGTTTACACAGGCAGTTGTCTCGAACAGGTGACCTTTAAACAAGGTTTGCCTGTCATTGTCTTGGACAGGTGGCTAGTAGAGCGGATTTGACTGTACAGTTCAACCTCCTCTAACATCCACCTATTTAAGATAGTCACCTGTATGAACGACTTTTTCCCTAGCAAAACTTTCCCCTGCCCCCCCCCCCTCCCTTCCACCTCACATCCCCACGTCTTCGTTCACGCACCATCACGATTCCAAACAGCTACTCCCTGCTTCCTGTAAGATTTTGCACCCCCACCCCCTACTGTGATCCTAACGATGACCTTCACTATGACCCCCACATTGACTCCCCCACATAGACACCCACAGTGACACCTCCCACATCCCCTCACTTTGTTCCCGAACGGATGTTAAGCTATGCCACCCAGCAGTTCCAAATGAGGGTTGGGTGACTGTGTGGGGTAGGGTGGGAGTGGCTGTGCTTTACTTTTACTTTCACACAGGATGTCGCTGGCGTTTGACGAACCACTGTAATGGTTGCAGTTGCGTTGATGTGATAATGACGCGGCTGTTTTGCTCATCGTCATCATCATCATTATCATTGTTCGGAAAACAGAGTAGGAGGGAGAGTCTTGTTTGAATTTCAGACAAAATAACATAAAAATATAAAATGTTCAAATTTTGTTTTATAAAACGGCTCAACATTTCGCCTCTGGGCTTCCACATCATCATCATCATCATCATCATCATCATCATCATCATCATCATCATCATCATCATCATCATCATCATCATCATCATCATCATCAT